CTGTGTCGCAGATATAGATGAGTGCTCGCAAGCGGAAAGCCCGTGTGCCCGGGAGAAGGAGAACTGTTACAACACTCCCGGGAGCTTTGTCTGTGTCTGCCCCGAAGGCTACGAGGAGACGGACACAGCCTGTGTGCCCACCGCAGGGGCTGGTGAGGGGGCCCGTGGGGGAGCTCAGAGAGGGGCTGGGAGCCAGACTGGGAGGGTCGGGTGAGGCGTGGGCATTCTGAAAAGGGACAGGGTGAGGAGTGGGGGTTCTGAGGAGGGGCGGGGAGAGCGTGGAAGATGGGTGATGGAGGACCTCACATCAGGCCAGCCAGGCTGCCCGGCTCAGCCGACAGGGAGGCAGCCTAGGATGGGGTGGCTGGGGCTCGTGGAAGACATCATGACATGACGTCATCCCAGAGTCCCCTGCAGGCTAGAGCACGGATGGCAGAAGCCCATTTAAATGATCAAGCGTTTAAAGAATGCAAAAGATAAGAACAAAAATCTGTCCATGGGAGACTAGAAAGATTATTTAAAAGTAAAACTAGGAGGAAGTCGTGGAAACAGAAAGAAAAGCCGCTGAAGCAAAGCTCAGGGGATGGGTTAATAGAGGAGAAGCCTACAGAGATGGATTCCTGAAGTGGACATCACAGAACAGCCAGAGGCCACAGAGGGAGCCAAGGCAGGAGCCCCATGGTTCTCACTTCCATCCCTGGAGCAGAAGGGGCTCAGCCTGTCCTGGGGGGAGGAGGAGGAGAGCCTGGAGAGCTAGGGACAGCTGCCTCCCGGGACACTGGCACAGGCCTTAGCACTCTGCCCAGGGGAATGGCTGGGCCAAGGGTCCACTTCTCACCCTTGAGGCACCAGGGCGCAGGGAGGCTGCCACTCTACTGTGATCCACGTGCCAGCACCCGTGGGCTCCCACATGGGAGCGTCCAGGGACAGGCCACAGCCCTGCTTGTATGAGGAGGCCCTGTCCAGAGGGGGCACGCCTGCTCCGTTCTGTGCCCTTCCTGCTGCACACACACCCCCTTCCATCAGAAGCCTGGGGCCGGCCCCTTGTGTGCTCCTGGGACCTGCTGGTCCATTTGCTGACATGTTTCCTCCAAAAGCCACGACCCTGCCTGTGGTTGGCTTCTCCCCTCTGCTGGGACGTCCTTGGTGGGTGTGGACCCCTCAGTTCACCTGCACCTTGCCCCTGCTTGGTGGGCTGCGGAGGACATGAGCAGGGCCATCTGTGGGCACCGTGTAGCCTCAGCCCCTGCTGGACATCTGGAAGGGGCAGCTGTCCCTGGCTGAGAGGCTGGGCGGAGATTGGGAGTTGCCTGCTCGGCAGCTGCCCTGTGCCCGTAGTTGGCACCTGCCCCACCTCAGGCACTGCCGTGACACTGCAGGCAGGCAATGGGACACGTCCTGGGGCCGAGCAGGGCAGGGTGGACATCAGTGGCCACATCGGCTGCTGTCCCGGGAAGAGCCTTCTCACCAGGGGTGCCACAATGCTGGGTTTCCTGACGATTCTTTCCGGACAGTAGCGGAGGGAGAGCCGACAGTACAGCCTTCGCCCCGTGAAGATTTGTGACGTGATCCGAGCGAGAAGATGCGGACCTGCCCGTAAATTATTCAGGCGGTGCCAGGCGGCGTGTGGGGCGAGGAGCACCTGCCGGGCGCCAGGCGGCCTCATGCTCACCTAGTTCTTACAGAGTTGTCTATTTTGATACGGTCCTTTGTAATAAACTTGACCATTGGAGGTAGTCAGATGGCATGTGGCCGTCACTTGAGGCTGCGTCAACCCCGTTTCAGCAGGCCGATGTCCCAGTCCTGATGGCTGTGCTGTGGTGAACGGGGTCCAGGTGACATGTAAGGGCAGGTGGACATGGGGAAGAACGCAGCGAAGGCCTAGCGCTTTGACTTAGATGGATGTCCAACCCCGGGGGCCGTGGCTCCCGTGGACAGGGACCAGGCAGAATGCATGGTGGTCAGGCCTTCGAGGGGTTTCAGGGCTCGAAAGTCAATGCAGCCGCCACCGGTCACCCCTGAGGGTATTGTGAAAGTAACTTCCAAATAGGAAAAGTGAGGGCTGGCTGCTGAGAAAGGAACTCCAGGAGAAAGGCGGTATTTGGGACAGAGCTTTTAGAAACCCTACTTCATCTGGCAGGAAGTGGCTGGCGCTGGGCCTCCTGTTAGCATGCCCACACCCTGGCCTTGCGGCCCTGACCTCCCTCCAAGCCTGTCTGTGCGTGGAAACCTCAGGCCAGGCCACCCATCCAACAGGTGCTGCCCCCACAGCTCGGTGGCCACCTTGTAGACAGCTCTGTTCTCCCAGGTACCACCTCCAGCGTCCTGGGTTTGGGGGCCCTGCATGAGTGACCACAACCCAGCCAGCCTCACTAGCCACCCCAACTCCCAGGCGTGGATGTGGGGCAGCCCCTCAAGCAGCTCTCTACTTGGGAAATGCGGAAGAGATCTGCTTTCTCCCTCCAGATCCCTGGCCGTCTTGGGGCGGCCACAGTCACACTGACCAGCCCACAGTGGCCAGTGCTCCCCTGGCGTGGACCCACCTTGAGCATACCTGTGTGCTCACCAGAAGGTATGATCCTGCCTGGTCTTCGAGGAGTGGTGCTGACGCCTGAGCCAGGGCCTGGGGTGGGGCTGGACATGACAGTGCCTCCTGCTCTGCTGTAACCTGGAGCCCTGAGTCCCTGCTGCCCCTGGATACCAGGTGGTGACAGCTGCCACAGGGCCAACTGCCAGGTGGCTCCCGGGCCCAGTCCACATGAGCTCTGAGCGTGGAGCCTCTTCCAGGGGTATGCACCCCAGAGAACTTCAGACACTGCATCTAGGAGCAGGGTGGGGAGGGGTGGCTCCACAGAGAGGAGGGAGGACATGGTGTGCTCTCACCTGCAGGTCAGGTGCAGGTTGTGGGTCAGTCTTGGTGTCCTCAGCGACATAGACCTTGTCAAAAGTCATTTTATCAGGTGCTTGACCAGGACCTGAGGGCACCTTCTCGCCCTGGCCTCAGCTGCAGGGCAGTGGACCAGGAGGTGGGCTGGGGGCTGGGGGCTGGGGGCTGGGGGCTGGGCCCACCCCAGAGGTGGCCAGGGTCAGGCTGGCCCGGTTCCTCACGTCCCAGGCAGGGGCCTCACTGTTCCATTTGTCCCGGGCCTGGCCCCCTCTGTGCACCCCTTCTGCTGAGTGTCTGCTCAGCCCTCCCTCTCAGCGGACTCATGGCCTCCTGTCTGAGGGGACCCTCCTCCTGGCTCCTTGTCCCTGCCCTTGCACACACCCACCTTGTACCTCCTCCATTCCTGTCCCCTCCCAGCCCCCTTCTCCCCACCCCTCCTCCTCCTCTTCCATAGAGGCCTTCCAAGGCCCCAGAGGGAAGAGGGGTGTCGCTGGGATAACGTAGGTGCACATGCTGGGAGGCACCGTGGGCGCAGGGCTTCATGTGGGCTCTGAGGGGCCTGCAGATGGTGATGTGTCATCCATATAACCACTCCCGCCCAGCACCCCACCTCCCACCTGCAGAGTCTGGGCTCCAGAGGGGCCGAGCTGGCTCTGTGTGGCCAGCAGGCGGTGCTGCAGTTCCATACCTGGCCGGCTCCCTCCTACAAGGACAAGCCACACAGCCCCTTCACTAGGTCACAGCATCCGCAGACACCCACACCCTGTCTCTGGGCTGGGGGTCAGCCTCAGGGAGATGCAGCCCTCTCCCCGTCTCTTCTTTCTTCCTCCCTCCTTCTCCAGTGTGTTGGGGTCTGAGCCCCACAGTTTGAGCATGAATCTAGGCTCCCCCAGGTGACCCACTCCCAGGTCGGTCACCTTGGAGGACAGAGCTTCTGGAATCATTTCCCTCCGCAGGCAGAACTTTCTCAGCCTGTCCCAAATCACTGTTTCCTGGCGCCCAGGGACTTCCGTGGTGGGCTCAAGAATTTAAAACGTAAAACAGCTATGAAGAGCAGCAAACAACAAATGCTGGCGAGGTTGTGGAGAAACTGGAACCTTTATTCACTGCTGATGAGAGTGTAAAATGGTGCAACCACTGTGAAAGGCAGTATGGCGCTTTCTCAAAAAGTTGGGAATAGAAATAAGCATTTAACGCAGTAATTCTACTACTGGGAATATATCCTAAAGAAACCATAGCTGCCTCCCAAGCAGATACATGTACATCCATGTTTATCGCGGCTTTGTTCACAATAGCAAGGAGTTGGAAACAACCCAAGTGCCCATCAACAAACGAATGGATAGAGAAGCTGTGGTGTATTCACACAAAAGAATACTATGCTGCATTGAAAAACAACACATGAAATACTATAAAAAATGGGTGACACTGGAGACATTATGCTGAGTGTAATATCTCAGTTACAAAAGGACAAATACTGCATAGTGCTGCTGTTGTGAAACAGGACTGACAAGGGGGTTGGGGGGAAAACTAAGAAGAGAGGGGATGAATAATGAACACTGCTATGAAATAGAGGAGGGAAAGAACTGTCTAAAAGAAATATATGATTAGGTAATTATTTGCATGACAACAGTCCAGAATAAGAGGTGTATAGCAAGGTGGACTGGGGGCAGGGTGGGGGGAGGAAACTACAACAATGAAAGAATCTTTTTAAAGAGAAAAGTGAACTGGGGGGGGTAGGAAGGAAAATGTGCAATAATGAATGAATGGAAATCCAAGTTTTCTGTAAACTTTTGTTAAATTATCAATTAAAAAAATAACAAAAAGAGAAAAGAATTTAAAATGTGCCCACCCATGAGGATTTCTGTCCCGGGTACCCAGCCCCCCTCTCCTGGAAGCCTGTCACCCCCATCACATCACAAGAGACAAGGAGACTGAGGCTAGGATGAGGGGTCCTGGGTCAGGATTGGGGGATGCCAGAGGTGGCCTGACCTTTTATCTTGGCTGAGCATATGAGAAAAATGCTAAGAACAGAGTAAGACATCCTCATATGGTCACTGGGGCCCCTTCCCCCCAGCCCCCCTTCCTTCCCTCACCTGGTCAGGGAGCTCTGGAGCAGCCCCTCCGAGGGTGACCATTGACCCACCTCTCATGGTCTGTGGCCACAATCCACTGGGGGTCCTCCCCTGTCATCTGGTCACTGAGAAGTGACCCCTGAGAAGTGTAAGCTGAGGGCATCTGCCCGCTCTGCCCTGTCTGACTCCCAGCAGCTTCCGCTCACTCTGTCCCGTCCTGCGCAGCATGTCCACTGAAGACAGGAGTGGCCCTCACCCTCCTGGTGTCCTCTTCCTCCCATCACCTCTTCGTGAGACCACCTCCCTAAGCCACTGTCCCCACAGTCAGCTGGGACAATTCCTCATCCTCGTTGCTTCCTTGGGCTCTTATCCGTGCATTGGGGTGCCCTGCCTGGATGTCACAAAAGCACCCCAACCACAGAGCTCCCCATGAGCCCGCTAGCCCTTGAGGTGGACCACGTCTGTTGCCACAGGCAGCAGGTCCCCAGTTCCCATGATGCCAGGCCCTGAGGGACATGAGTGGCGACAAGCCTGTGTGGGCTGTGAGCAGGGCTGAGTGAGGGCCAGCTGTCAGGTGAGGAGTGGCAGCCAGCAGGTCCTGTGTGAAGGGCTGGCACCCGGGTCGGGGAGGGTGTGGAAGTCCTGGTGGCGGTCGGAGATGGCCTAGCTGGCAGCCCCAGGGACATCTTTTCCAGAACTCAGCAGAGGCCCCATCAAGTGTCTCACCACCCTCATTGCTCCTGTGTGGTGTGCCTGTGCTCCCCAGGCATGGAGAGGCCCTGTGGTGAATGCAGGGTACAGGTGTGGGGATAAGGGGCCCACACCCCTGGGTCTCCCCAGACCCCATGGATCCCATGGGAACGTGGCTGGCTGACCACTCCGGAGGCTCTGAGCAGGTGAAGTTAGACCTCTGCTCCACAGCTTTCATTCTTAGGGGTTTACAAGGGTGACTTGACCAGCAGAAGCCATCTCTGGGGGCTCAACAATGAAGGGGGGTTGTGGTAGGTATCCACCCACAGGGCCCTACCTCTCAAGTCCTCCCACCCATAGCCCCACCCACCACCATACCCTGTCTCTACACATTCCACTGCCATCTACTTGCCTAATGGTGCTACTGGCCTAATTTGTGGGCTAACCTCCTTGACCAGACCTCTACCCACATGGGATACCTCCACACCCAGGTCTTCAGGGCCCCACAGGCAGGCGTGGGCCACAGCCCATCCCTGTGCGAGGTTGTTCTGTGGGAGTGAGGGACAGGGAAGCCAGCCTTGAACACTTGTCCTGGTAGCCTGATGATCTAGGTGGGGTTAGAGGCTGGGAGAGGGCTCTAGAGCCCAGCTGGGCCGGCCCCTGGGGCATGGTCCTCTGTGCAGCAGGCTGGAGGCTGGAAGCTTCCACCATGGTTGTGTGGGACCCACCTGGGGTGAGTTGAGAGAGCCTTCACTCTGGCACGTGCTGCCCACCTCCCGCCCTAGGCCTGTGCTCCAGCGGGTCCTCTGATGTGTCCACTGCGGTGGGGCTGCCACCCCACCCCCACACCCTACACTCAGGCTCCATCAGCAGGCCAGGGGTCACCTTTCCAGAGACGCTTTCCTTCAGCATTGGGGTCCTTTCAGGGGAGTTTGGTGGTGTTGCTGTCACTCAAGCCTGCTGTCCACAACCCTGAGCCACGAAGCAGTGCCCCTGGGCCAGGATTTTCCTGCACCCACCCTCCTGTGGGGCAGCTCCAGGGCAGAGCCCAAGGAAGGCCCAGAGCTCTTAGAAAGAAGAGGGGCCTTACTGAAAGGTTTAAGATCACGGCGAAGTCCAGAAGCGACACTAGCCGAGTGTAGAGTAAACATGCTTCATTGAAAATGTGTGCTCAGGTGAAAGTGGGCTGAGGCGTCAGCACCAAACAAAGAGACGAGCAGGGGACGTGTGCATTCTACGTCGGGCAGTTCAAAAGAAGAGGGAGGGAGTACACCGAGTCACTCTACCAAAAAGAACTGGTGGAAAAACGTCGAGAAGTACCATCTAAATGTACCTTAATTTCCAATCCATCTGATTGTGGTCGGACATCTGGGCTGTTTCCATGTTCTTGCGATGGTGAATAATGCTGCTATGAACATTGGTGTACAAGGCTCTTCTGTCCTCACTCTCTCAGGGTATATTCTTTTTTTTATTTTATTTTATTTTACTTTTTTTTTAAATTTGGGATTCTGAAGCTCAAACCGTTTATTAAAACAAACAGTTAAAAAGTTCCTGAAGAAACTAGCAATATCTACATTGACGCCTCTAGAACAGGACTTGGAATGTGCACATCTTCCACCCTGGCCCACTACTGCTTTGAATACTGCCCATTCTCTTCAAGCAGCGTGAAATTCACCCCTGAATCTAAAAGTTAAGAAACGGTGGATATTACGTGGAATGAATATTATCAAGGTGCTGAGAGCCGCGATTTCATCTGGGACTGGTCCTGTGTGCATCCCTTCTCTCAGAGCCTGCAAGTACTGACTGGGTATGGAATTTAGGCTAGTGCCACTGACCGAGGCTAGGAACTCCAGGACTTTGAACTCGCTGGTTTCTCTGCGGCCCGCTTGCCCCACAGGAATTCCTGGCGGGGAGGCTGACTATTGGGTACTGGCTCTATGTTTAAATACTCATCCTGCTTCCATTCCTGAATGAGCTTGCGGGGCTCCCCGTAAATAAAATGCTCCTGCCCTACATGCACCTCCATCACTTGTAGCGTCTCTCAGATCTTCTGCTCACTGGCACGGCCACCTTCCAGGAAGATGGTACTCAGGGTTGTGATCAGAAGGCCGTTCTCTGTGCAAATATACCACAGCTTCTCTAGCCATTCGTTTGTTGATGGGCACTTAGGTTGTTTCCAACTCCTTGCTATTGTGAACAAAGCTGCAATA